GTTGGATCCAACTTTTTTTTTTTTTTTTGTCAATAGGAAGAGGGTCATGTGACACATTGAAATTATTGGAAATTCGACAAGAAAAACAATGGTGTGCTTGGTTTTAACGTAACTATTCTTTCATGAGTTATTTACAAGTTTCTGACCAATTAGAAAAAATTTTTCAATGTGCTGCTTATTGTGTTGGATTGTCAATGCAACTTTCTTCTCCCACTCTTCACACACTGATAGCAACACCGCAGGAGAAATGCCAGCACAGGCTTCCAGTATCCATAGTTTTAGGTGCTGCACATCTTGTATTTTCACACCATATATATATATATATATATATATATATATATATATATATATATATATATATATATATATATATATATATATATATATATATATATATATATATATATATATATATAGAAGTTAGAATATATATATAGAAAAATAGATAATTTATTTAAGATAATTCATGTTTTTTGGTCATTGTGCACTTTGAAATAAAAATTTTGTTATAATTTTATTGTTTATAAATAAATAAATAAACAAATATACAATTATTAATTAATATAATAACTAAATATTTAGGATAACTCATGCTTTGTTGTCATTGTAGACTTGTATAATTTGCCATTGTATAATTTCAAATTAAAGTTTATTATTGTTTTTTTGTATGTACAATAACAAATAAATGAAAAATAAATGAAAAATTATGAATTTATATCATTTAAAATTGAAAATTTAAGTTAATGTATGCTTTTTGGTGAATGTATAATTTCAAATTAAAGTTTACTGTCGTTTATTGTATATAAACAAACAAACAAACAAACAAACAAACAAACAAACAAATGAATGAATAAATAAATAAATGAATAAAATTATTAATTAATATAATAATCGAATATTTTAGAATATTCACGCATTTTGGTCATTGTGTACTTTGAAATTAAAGTTTTCCATAGTTTATTTCAAATAAATAAATAAAATGATAAAAAAATAATAAATAAATAAATGAATAAATAAATAAATAATAATTGAATATTTAGGAATATTCATGCGTTTTGATCATTGTGTACTTAGAAAAAGTTTTTTTTTTTTTTTTTTTTTTGCATATAAATAAATAAATAAATAAGATAATAATTGAATATTGAACTAATTTATACTGAAATAAACTTAGTTGTCATGAACAGAAGGGAAGAGAGGTGGTGGGGTGGGTGGGGATTTGTTGGGACTTGTCACGGACAAAAGTGAACAGCAGGGGGTCGGGTTAGTGGTATTGCGGATGAAAGTGTTTCAAAAAACGTGTTTCAAAAGATAAAATCCATTCGTTTCGTTAGCAATTCAACCAGCAAAGTACAACTGGAATACATCTGCTAATAAAAGAAGCTAAAATGAAAAGACAATTCTGCTCTTTTTATCAATTCAAATATGCAATTATTATATATATATTTTATTTTAAAACAAAGTCAAGGTCTGGTTAAAAAAAGAAAAATATCATAAAAGACAAAAGATGTTTTTAAAAAAAGGAAATGGTGCAGTCACGGATAAAATGACCTTCATTAATTCCAAGCAAAAAATAAATAAAATAAAATGAATCTGATACATTGAATAAAAACCCACACCTAGAAGAAGAAAAGGTGTGTATGTGAATGGCGGTCTGTGCAGTACTGAGAACAGCTGTTGATGGCTTTAGAGAGACCACACAAAGACACCAGTAATTGATTTCTAGGCCTTTGGAAATCTATCAGATGAATTCACAATGCAGCGCTTTTACACAGGGAAACAGATATCTCCATGGCGACGGTGAAATATGAAAAGATCATAACAGAAATTCTCACCCGCAGGAACGAAGGGAAGCCCAGTCCATTATAACCCACGGCAAAGTAATCCGGCTTGGGTCTGATCACCTTCACGATGCTCTCATAAAACTGAGCCTGTTTCCTCTGAGGGAGACAGAGAAGATCACACAATCAGTCCTGGAATGATCATTCATCAACACTATTTAACCACTAAAGTCTGCTTTTGGAAGCAAATACTGTATATATTTTCTAAAGAGTGGTGTTTTTGAAGGAAACTACATTACCCATGATGCTGCACCGGACATTCCACCAATCAAAGTCACAGTGAGAGGTCTAAAAGTCCATATATATTTAATTACATTGGCATTTGGCAATAAGTCACAGTGAATGTTCTAAAAGAGATATTCAGCCACACCCACTTTCATTAGGCATATGAAAGTGGGCGTGGCTAAATATACATTTTAGAGTATTACATGTGACTCTGATTGTCAAATATGTATATATATGGTCGGTTTATAAAAACAACAACTAAAATCTCTCCAAAAAACAGAAATCTTTACCCATGCTTTCAAAAAGAACAGAGAAATAGAACAGACTTGAGATAAGAAGCAAACATTCACGGAAACAGACAATGAATTAATAAATAGCTGAATTTAATAATGTAACTGAGGTGAATATAAATAAGATTAGTGTTTCAAATAACTAAAACTTTAAAAACATCATATAATATTAAAATAATATAATATTCTTATTTTGTAATATAAAATCAAATAAATCAATATAAATAAATATAATATACAATTATTATTTGATTTAATAATAGAATATTTAAGATGATTCATGCTTTCTGGTTACTGCATACTATAAAAGTAATGTTAATTATAGTTTTTTGTAGGTAAATGAAAAAATAAAAATATACATATACATTTAATAATTAATATAATAATTGAATAATTAAGAATATTCCTGACTTTTGTCATTGTGTACTTTGAAATTAAGACTTATTATAGTTTAATTGATTATAAACAAACAAACAAATAAATAAATAATTACCAATTAATATAATATTTAACTATTTATGATAGTTCATGCTTTTTGGTGCATATATAATTTTGAAATTAAAATGTATTTTGTATTATTTTGTATTGTTTTAGTTTTTTGTATGTAAATAAATAAATAAAAATATTAAATAAAAAAATCATATTAACATAATAATTGAATCATTAATCTAAATTAATAAACAAATAAATTAAATAATTAAATAAATAAATAAATAAATAACCACATAAATAAAATACAAATTTATTTATTAATATATTAATTGATTATTTAAAATAATTCAAGCTTTTTGGTAATTTTACACTTAGAAATAAAATTTATTTTAGTTTTTTATCTAAATAAATAAATAAATAAAAAATGATTTATTGATATAATATTTGATTATTTAAGATAATCCATGCATTTTGGTCATTGTTTACTCTGAAATTAAAGTCTATCATAGTTTTTTGTATATATAAATATAAATAAATAATATTTTGAATATTTAATAAATTTATATTTAAATAAATAGCTGTCACGGAAAAAAAGGAAGAGAGGTGGTGAGGGGGCGGGATTTGTTGGGGCTTGTCACATCGTTACCCACCCTCACTTTCATGAAGGACAGAGAATGCTTAATGAAAGTGGGTGTGGCTAAAGATCACGTTTAGAGCACTAACTGTGACTCTGATTGTCCATGTTTTTAAATAAATGATTGGTTTAAAAAAATAAATAATAAAAAGAGAGATTTAGCCACGCCCACTTTCATTAAGCGTATAAAGATGGCTGTAGATAAATATCTATTTTAGAGCACTTATTGTGAATCTGATATAATTAATTATACGTATGGTTGGTTTTAAAAACAACCATAATCTCTCCAAAAAATGAGATCTATATCGACATTCACTTTTAATAGAATATATAAAATGGGCGTGGCTAAAAATCTATTTTCGAGCATGTTCTGTGACTGTCAAAGCATTTAAAAATACATATGGTTGGTTTAAAAAACAACCACCAAAATCTGTACAAAAAAAATTTATTTTAGCCACGCCTACTTTTAATAAAGTTGGCATGGCTAAATATAGATTTTAGAGCACTCACTGTCACTCTGATTGTCAATGTATGTCAATGTACATATCGTTGATTTGAGAAAAAAAAAAACAACCAAAATCTCACTCCAAAAATTAGATATTTAGCCACACCCACTTTAATGAAGCATATGGAGGTGGGTGTGGCTAAATATATATTTTTAGAGCCCCCACTGTGACTAATTGTATATATATATATATATATATATATATATATATATATATATATATATATATATATATATATATATATATATATATATATATATATATATATATATATATCTATATATATATATATATATATATATATATATATATATATATATATATATATATATATATATATATATATATATATATATATATATATATATATATATATATATATAAAACATTTAAACATTTTCCATTATCATGGAGCCCTAATTTTACGTTCAGGGTTCCATATTTGGTGTCCATTTTGTGATAGAAATGATAT